GGCCCTTCGATGCGATCGACCTCTACGAGCACAGGGGAGGCGCGCCGACGCCACGGCGCAGCCCGCTGGTCATTTCGCTTTTCAGAAAGCTTCGATACCGTTGGTGTCGACGACACGACCGAGTTGAGCAAGGCCAACAAAGCGGCCGTCGATGGTCTGGTCACAAGGGGGCTCTCAGGGCGCGGCCCCGCGGTGTGCCCAGCGCGCGCCGCCCGCGCCCGCTTGCGGGCCGTTCACGTGTCAGGGGCGGCGCAGTGCATTGCGAACAAGCGGGTTCCTCATGCCGACGCAGGCGGGCCTGAAGGATTGGTCGAGGGCCTTGTACAAGTTTCCCTGGATGCCGCGTTGGCTTTTCGAGTGCGGAGCTCTCGCGCGGCGACACTTTACGGGCCGTGGATAGGCCCCGCGCGCGGCCCCGCCAGGTATGCCGCCATGGGCATTTCGCCCGCGGCGAAGGCTTCTGCCGAAGCGATGGCTGCCAACGCGCGCGCGCGGATGCTGCCAAGGCGCGCGCGGACGCAGAGCCGAGGAAGCGCCGACACGACAAGCGCCTTCGATGCCGCATTCGCCGTGGTCGACGCTGGCATGGCGATGCAGTCGCCCGCGAAGCCTCGGCTTCGAAGACAGTGGCTCGGGGCCTCGCAGCGCGCGCTGGGCGGATTTCCAGCAGGTTGCCCCCCCCCCCATGGTTCGGCAGCTCGCGCGCCCGCGGCCCGCCGCTGGCGGCGCGTGCTGCGCGGGGCTCTCGCATCGGTTCGGCAACAACGGCAGGTGGGATTATGCGGCACATTGCACCGCCTCCACTGCGGGCGGGCTCCCGTGGGCGCGGACAACGGTTCGGGCGATCGGGGCAGACGTGCCAAAGGGCCCCGACCCGCGCAAGCGTCGCCCGTGCGGGTACGACATGCAAGTGGCGCCCGTGGCTGCCTGAGGACAGCCGTGGCGACGCGATGGCGCCGCGCTGGCGCATGCGGCGCCCTCCCCCTCCTTGTTCTGCCCCGTTCCCCCCCCCCCCCTGCCCTCCTGTTCATGGCAGGGCCCCGCCCATGGCTGATGCCTCGCGGGCGCCTGCATGCCGCGGGGCTGCTGCGAAATTCAAAGCGCGACGCGGGCGCGCGCGCTTGGGGCTGCGCGCGCGCAATGCAGCTTATTGCGGTCTAACGCGGCGCGGCCCCAGCGCGCGCGCTCTCATTGGTGGGGCAGGTCCTGTGAATGTTTTCGCGTGGTCACCACTGCCAAGTCATCGCGCCCAGTTGCGCGCGTGTCATGTCGTGCGCGCGTGGCCCGCTTGCACGCGCGCGCGCGCTCCATTTCGGTTCGCCAGGCGCTGTGCGGCGCCAGCCATCGCGCGCGTCTGCCATCGCCCTTTGCGCGCGTGCCGATGCGATTCGCGCGTCGATGCATGCGTCGTAGATGCCGTGAATGGAGGAGGGGGAGGCGGAGGAGGGGGCGGCGGTTTGGGGGGAGAATGGGGTAGGAGGAGGAGGACGCGGACGAATAGGGGCACGGAGAGGAAGGCAAGGGGGAAGGAGGGGATTGGAGGAGGCGGTGGTAGAGGATGCGCGCGCGGATCTGGGTGGACACGGGGTGCTTCGCGGCAAAGGCAGCCATCCCACGAGGCGGTTCCCTTTCAATTCTCCGTTCCCCCCTTATCACATTTCGGGTAAAATGTTTAAACCCCATGTCCATGGCGCGTGCACGTGTACTCTGTACTTCCCCGTGCGCGTGTGCATTGCACTGCCTCACCGCGTGTGCTCATTGCCTTGCATTGCATTGCGTTGTGTGTCTAGCTTGCCTCGCCCTCCTCCTCCTGTCCTTTCCTCCTCCTCTTTGCTCACCTCGCCTCTCCTCCTTGCTCCTCACCTCGCCTCGCCTCGCCTCCCCTCCTTTCTCCTGACCTCGCCTCCTTCCCCCTCCTCTCCCTGTCTCCCTTACACCTCCCTCCCTCCCTCTACCCGCTCTCCTCTCCCCTCTCCCATCCCTTCCCCCCTCTCCGCCCCACGCTCGTGCCTTGTCTCCCCCCCACACAGGTTTCGCCATCCCCGTCGCCTGCCCCTTCTCCTTCCCTTCGCATACCTCCTCCCCATTGCCCCAGCCGCGGTCTCGCATTTCCTCTCTGCTGCACTCGCCGCCCTTCTCTGCGACCGTTTCGCTTGGCGGGCGCCCATGAGGGAGGGGGGCTCCATGGGAGCGGGGACTCGGCCGTCCGTGTGCCTTCGGGAACGAGGGGTGCGCAAATCAGAGGAGGCGACTTTAGGCCCCCCCCGCACCTCCCCCATACCGTCCGGGACCGGGGGCGGGGTCGTATGATCGGCGGTGGGTGTGGCCAGAACGCCAGCGTGAGCGCTCCCCCGTAAACTCGCCCCCGACGGCGGCAGCCCCCCAGGACTCTCAGATTAGCGCCCCCGAGGCTTCAGATTAGGCCCCCCCCGCGCGCGCCAGCCAGGTGCCCGCGCAGCACCTGCCCGAGACGGCGTTCGAGGTGGACAAGGACTTGCTCGAGGCCGCCCAGGCCCAGCACCGCCTCCACATGAGGAGCCGATGGGGGCCACGCTCGGGCAGGGAGGGGGGTCTGGCCAGGCAGGCGGGCGGAGGGGGGATGGGCGTGAGAGGGAGGGGGGTGGGAAGGGCCTTGGACGGAGAGTCAGGGAGAGGACGGATGGGGAGGGGCGGGGGGCGCATGGGGGCGGAGTGAGGCGTGGACGACGTCGACGAAACAGGAGGGGGGAGGAGGTGGGACGAATGTTTGGTGGATGTCGGCGCCCTCCTTCGCCCTCCCCCCCATGCCCCCCGTGTCTTGCACTCCCCATCCCTTATCCGCTCACTCTCTCCCGCCCTCGCCACCCCCTCGTCGTCGGATGGGGGGTTGGGGTGCCTGCCCGTAGGAGCGTCGTGAAGAGGAAGCTCGGGCAGGCGCTCAAGACCAACGAGGATGCCCCGCCCCCGAAGAAGCGCAGGCGCCTCAAAACGTTTTGGTTCTTGCGCATGCTTGATAACCAGTTGCGGGGTTTGGGGATGCCGCTCCATAAGTTTAGAGTGCCCCGCGACGATGCTGGCCGATTCGTCGGAGATCCATTTGAATGGCCCCTGCTGTCCCTCAGCCCCGACGCGGGGCCAGACACGACCTGCGCTGACCACTTCATGAGTTATTGTCTTCGGGACCTCAACGTCCAGTGCGATTACGATCTCCCCCACTCCCTCAATAATGCTTCGAAGGGTGCCTTGCGGTAGGCGGTCCAGCAAGTAATGCCCCCATAGAGCCCTGGGCTGCATTGGGGGCGGCGCCCTGGTGGAGGAGGTGTTTGGAGGTGGTTGAGGGAGAGCGGCGGGTGGGGGGACGGGATGGGGGTGGGCGATGGAGGAGGGCCCCAAGGGGGCAGGACGCCATCTCTCGCAGCCCCCATTCGCGTGCGTTGCAGTCTCGGCGCGCGCGCCCCCAGGCATTCTTCCCTGTATAGGTTCTTGGTGGTGATGAGCGCGGCGGGCAACTGCAGGTGCGGGAGCACTTTGTCCCCGCCCCGCCTCAAACAGATGAGGGACGCACTCATCAACCACCAGGCCTCCTGCCACACCAGCGCCAACGACCACCTGTGGCAGTTCTACTTGCCGCACATCAAGAAGCAGCTCACGGAGGCCCGTGGCCGCAGAAACGGCAGCGGGTTGGGGGAGGGTTCGGATGGCGTGCTCCAGAGGCACCCTCCCAGTTTGTTATCCGAGTGCTCTGGGGTGCTCTGCGAGTCTTGGTGTGAGTGGGAGGCTGAGTGAGACCTGGCCTGAGTGTGAGCGCGCCTGTGTATCGGGACGTTTGGGGGTGATGTGAGTGGGCGAGTCTGAGTGCGAGTGCCTCTTGGGTATTTGGCGAGTCTGAGGGTGACCAGCTCTGAGCCGAGTGGAGTTTGATTATGAGTGATGTGTGTGATTGGGCATGGGTGCGAGAGACTCTGAGTAGTACGACTCTGAGCCCATGTGCGCATGGGTGCACGCAGTCCGACTCTGAGTTCGCGCATGCGTGCGCGTGGTAGTTGTTGCGGGTGGGTCTGGGAGTGCATAGGTCTGGATATGACGGCTGCGTATGCGTCTGGGTTGGGCCGACGCCCGTCCTGGCGCGCAGAGCGCTTCCTCCCCAACCCATCCAAGGTCGACCTCAGCACCGAGCACGCGGTGGAGGAGTTCTGGAAGGGTTTGCGGGGCCACAAGCTGCTGGTATCCAAGGGCCAGAAGGTTCACTTAGGCAAGTTTCAGTGCCCGATCGTGGTTGCGAAGCGCCAGGCCTGCTTCTTCAGTTTGAACGCGTACATCCTCAATTGCGCCGCGCTCAGCCTTGGCTTCAAGGGCGCGGACAGGATGGTGCCACCGAAGACGACCGACGCCGAGCCCCCAGCAGCCCCCGTTGAGGCGCCCAGTGGCAAATTGACGCTGAAACAGTCTGGCAAGGAACCTTGGGACCAAGCATGCGCTAACCAGTTGGACAGAGCAGCATTTCTTTTTGGACAGATGTCGAACTACCACTTGATGCGCATCATCATTAACACGCTGAGCAGCACGGCGGCCTTCCACAGCAAGTATGCTGGGCGCGAATTGCTTAAGTATGTTTCTGGTTAGTCGCTCCGCCCCCCCTACCCTCGTAGACTTACTGCATCATTCCCTTTCCCCTTCCGCCTGCCCCATCCCTCCTCTCCCTACCACGGCTCGCACACACGCGGCCATCATTGTCCTCATACTCCTCTGGCGTACCTGCCACTAGTGCGGCCGCCCCCCTTCCGCAACTTAACATTGCGCCACCCACCACCACCTCGAACGCCGTCGCAGGGGATGGGGGCGGAGGATGAGGAGGTGGAAGAGGAGGGGGATGGAGGAAGGTGGAGGGGTGGACGGAGGAGGAGGTAGGTGGATCGAGGAGGCAGGATGGAGATGAAGAGGAGGATGCGGAGGGGGAGGAGGAGGATGGCGGGGGAGAAGAACAGCGCCCTGCCCCCGCCCTTGCTGCTCCCCGCCGCCAGGCAGAACACGGAGTTGCGGAGCCAGGCCGCGACCATCAAGTTCGAGGACAGGATGGTCAGAGGTGATATGCACAAGTGCGAGCGGCTCTCCATGCATCTCCTGGTGGCCCGCAGGTATTTCGACGACATGGGCATCCCGCCGAACTGGTCACCGATGCAGACGTGCTTGGCAGATCCCAAGGTCGTGGAGTCTGACCTGGGCGCGCAGCGCCTCGCCTCGCTCGTGTGCGCGCTGACCCTCGAGCACACCGAGAGGAACCTGACATTCTCGCACGGATATCCGCGACGCCAGGTGATGCTGCTCAACCCTTCCTTGGCCGACACCTTCCTGCGCGAGTTGCGGCGCGACTACCAGTTGTTCGGCGAACTTCAGACGTGCCTGTTCGACGGCGCCAAGGTGATGATCGGCCGCAGCCTCTTCCAGAAGGTGAGCGTGAAGCACCTTCTCGCCGTGCTCGACTCGGTGGACTGGAAAGTTACCGAGAGGCCGTGTAGCTTGCTTGCCCCTCCCTCGCATCCTCATGCGCGCCGTCCCACTCGCCCCCCATCTGTCGTCGTCGTGCGCTTCTCTCCTCATCGAGGCTGCTGGGCCACATCAAGCAGAAGTGTTCCCGATTGATAGCGTCCCAGATTGTCGAGGACCTCTTCAATAAGACCAAGACGAGGGTCGACAAGCAGCAGAATACGCTATCGTCACCGATGTCCACGATGGCGGTTGCCATAGATAGCGGCATCATCGACCAGACCCACCATTTCAAGCACCTCGACGTGTCCACGACGGCTCCTGCTCGGGGGTCGTGCTTGGAGCCGAACGCGTTCAGGCCGAAGGTCGCGCGGAAGCACTTGGACAAGGAGACCGAGGCTATCGGCATGCACCAGGTGTCGTCTTTTAAGGACGCCCAGTGGTTTTCGCCTCGCGCCGACGGCGCCTCGCTGCCCTACAGCGATATCGAGGTCATCCGCCAGGCCGCCAACGAGAATAGGATGCACATGATTGATCGGAGGTGGCTCTGCCAATTGGTGCGGTCAGGTTCCATGGTCAAAAAGATCGGCAGCGATGAGTGGTTCCTCGGCGTCGGCACGATCGATGACGCGTTGGCCGTGCTGTGGCCGCTGGAGCGGAAGACCGAGCAGCTCTACACCGTTGACACTCAGAGGTATCGCGTGCTGCAGACGGTGCTGGAACCGTCCGAGTGGTTGAGCGCGGACGCGATGTGGGCATCTCCCTTGCAGCAGGCCGCGCGCGTGGAGCTTGCCAAGGTGGAGGGCCCCTGCCGCGACAGTCGCTTGGTCGACTTGCAGGCCGCCCGAGGAGGGAAGGAGGATGGAGGCGGGGGCGCGGGGACTGAGGTAAGTTGGATAGGGAGGAGGGCGGATGAGAGTAGGAGATGACGATGCTGGCCAGGGGCAGTTCGGGCCAAGGCTAAGGGGGGGTAGGGAATGATGCGGCGGCGACGGCTAGGGGAAGGTCAGCGGTGATGGCGGTGAATCGGGCCAGTAGGTGTGAGGCTCGTGGTCGGGGCGGTCGGGGGAGCGTTGTCATTTGATGCTCCCGCAGGCTGGCCACTCGTACGGGGAGTTGCCCATCGCGCTGGTGAAGAACGGCCCAGAGATGCCGATGCTGGAGTACGCCTGCAGGAAGGGCTTCTGGGATCTGCCGATCTCGTTCCTCAAGGCGCTCTGCGACCTGAAGGACTGGCCGTACCCCAGCGCGTCGGTCTGCTCCCTGATCCAGGTGCTGTGCGAGAAGATCATGCCGAAGAACAGCACCGCCCTCATGGAGTCCGCGATGTTGCACCGCATCGGCGCGTACGACGGGCAGGAGGGCTTGGAGGACATCATCAACTTGGAGTGGGTCGCGGACTTGCTCGACGGCACCGTCAGCGACGAGCTGCGCAGCGAGGTGACGAAGGCCAAGGCGGCGAGGGCCATGCGCGCGGAGTTCGTCACCGACGTCACCCGCTTCAAGGACTCGTTTTGGAGGAAGAGGAGGAGGGGGGGCAAGGATGCGGAGGAGGAGGATGGGAATGAGAGGAGGAGGAGGCGGCGGGGGAGGAGGAGGGATGGAGGACGGGGGTTAACGGATGGAGGAGGAGGCATGGGGATTGAAGAGGCAGGATTGGCATGATGAGGAGGATGCGGGGGAGGAGGAGGAGGAGGGGCGGGGGAGGAGGAGGACCTCCCTATCGTTCCCTTCCCCGCCCGCTCCGCCCATCCTCCCATCCCACCACCTCCCCGTGGCCCCATTGCGCCCCCCCCCCCCCAACCTTCTCAGCCCGACTCGCTGTTAGCCGATGCGCGCGGTCGCGCGTCCACGCGTTTTCGCGCGCGCGCGCGTGTGTTTAACTTAGCTCGGGTGCTCACCGTGTGCGCGTTTATCTTAGCACCAGCGTTATACTTAACACGAGCGTTGCACTCAGCACGAACGTAAACCATAGCACCAGCGTTTAACTTAGCACAGTCACTTGGCCACGCATTCCCTCAGCACGATCGTTTACTTTAGCACGAGCGTTTCACTTGGCACGGTCGTTTACCTTAGCGCGAGCGTCTAACATCAGCACGAACGTGTACCTTAGCACGAGCGCTTAACTTTAGCACGAGCGCCTGCCTTATCACGAGCGCTTCATTTAGCACGAGCGTTTACTCCACGGCCTCCAATAGGTTTGGCCCGCGCGGCCGAATTTATTTGATGCCTTGGTCGGGCCGCTGGCGTTGGGCATTCAGCGTCGCCTTGCGGGCCCCGCCCCCCTGGGCCCCCCTGGCTCTGGAGTTGGGTTGGGCCGCGGGTGGCTGGCAGCCTTGCGCCCGTGATGGGTGGCCTAGCGCGGTTTCGCTTGGCGCAGTGGTCGGGCCCGACTGGACCGCCAGGCCGAGTGGAATTGTGACGAGGCCACCAGTCGCGGGCCTGGGTCCGCGCGCCTGCGGCCCGACGGCCACTCGAGACGCATCGAATCCACGGGGGGTCGGAGGGGAATCCGCATGGCGTAGGGCGCCCACCGCCCGTGGCCCTCCCCGACATGGGATGCATGTCGGGCCCGATCGATTCGGTGCCGCATGCACGTCGCGCGCGCGCCCGACAACAAGGAGCTCGATCCCTCCCCCCCTTCCCCGCGACTGCTTCGTGCCCGCTCATGCGATGGTGCTTCTCGCGCGCAGGCGCCGCGTGCACTTGTTGGCAGTTGCGCTCCGCGGCCTCCGATAGCTTTGGCCAGCGCGGCCAAATCTATTAGAGGTCATGGGTTGTGCCGCGGGCTTTGGGTACCAAGCGACGCGGCGCGTTTTGCCATGTTCGATTCGCGGGGGCTGGCGTCGGGTCGTCCCGCTTGTGGCTGGCCGCCTTGCCGCGGCTGGCGGCCTCGCACGGTTTCGTCGCGTGTGGGCGTTGGGATGGACTCGAAGCACGGCCGAACCGCGGGGGGTGGCCCGTGGCGAGCTCAGGGGGATGGGGGATGGGGGCGCGCGCTTGCAGACCCAAGGCCCGTTTCCCAGCCTCGAGGCCCGCGCGGGCCCAGGGTGCCCATCGCCAGCAACCCGACCCGATATGCCGACGGAGAGGCCGATCGGGCCCACTGCAGCGGGCACCGCAGGACGACGTTACCCATCGCGTTCGGCCCTTCTAGCCCGCCCCATTCCGATATGCACGCGATCCACGTGCATGCATATAGTTTTATATTCATAGGGGAGAGAGAGAGAGAGAGAGAGAGAGAGAGAGAGAGAGAGAGAGAGAGAGAGAGCGCGCCATGATGCATAATAGCATTCCTCGTTGCCTGGTGTATTTTTCATTTGGGCACATGTGTAGTTTCTCCATGGTGGTTGTTGGGGGCCTTCGTTCGTTTCTGCCGTCCTTCCGCGTTGCGCAAACGCCACCACGATGCTCGCGCGTCGTCGTGCTCGCGGCGGTGCGCCTCGTCACTCTGCATCTCATGGCAGCCAACGCCAGCTGTCGCATGCGGTCTTGGGCGGGGCGGATGTGGTTCGCACGCGGGGCTTGCTTCACTTTCCCTCTCCCCTCCCCCCCCGCGTCCTTGGATATTTCACGGTTTCGGTAGAGATCGGGCGGGCGCGTTGGAACTTGTTTGTCGGTCCAAGTTGCCGCCGCCGCTGCTTGCGTTTGCCAGCATTCATGCCTCGTTATCAAATGGGTGTCTGGTGTGTTGCGCAAATTGCGTGCAGGTGCATGGGCGGCGCCATGCCGCTGGTTGTGGTTGTTCGTTGCGGCGTTTGCGCCTGCGCGGGAGTGTCGGTGGACGTGGTGGCCGCTGGTTGTTCTTGTTCGGTGCTGGCGGCCCTTCTGCTGCCGTGGTAACTGCGTTTTGCTTGTTGTGTCCGTGTCGCGCTGGCGCGATGTGTCCGATTCGTTTGCGTTGTCGGTGTAGGGTTCGGCGCGCTTGGCTCGGCGGGGTCTCGCGCGCGCGGCCGTTCTGCGGGGTGGGATGGGCGGCGCGCCCGCGAATGCTTCTCGGCGTTGTTTGGTGGGGCGCGGGTGCCGTTTACGTCGGTGGGGCAGCGCGTCACGTCATTCGGGCAGTCGGCCCAGCCCGCCCCCTCGCGGCGGCGGGCAGCCGCGGGCGCCGATGCGGGGCATGCAGAACGCCCAAGACCGCCCGCCCTCCTGGCCATGCTGCGCGCAGGCCCATGCGCACGTTGCGCGCGCGGCACGCGCGGGCGCCAGCGGCGGTGCGGCGTCGGCGGGCGGCCACGGCGGTGGCCAGCGCCAGGACGTCCGCGCGCGGCGCAGGTGGTGGCCCCAGCGCTTGGTACTCTACGGCTGGGAGCCAATTCGCGCTTTGTGCAATGCCACGTGGTGGCGGTCGGGATGCCGCGGGGGTGGGCAGACTACTGCCGAGCAGGAGCCGAACGCCGCCGCGTGCGTCCACCGTCTTCGTCGCCAACGGCGCAAGTACGCATGCGCTCCACCGTCGCGGGAGGCCGACACCTCCGTGGGCGCGGCTGGCGCGGCGCGGTTCACGACGAGTCTCCGATTGGACGGTGCTGGCATGGGGGTACGTGTCGTGCCGTTCCTCCACATTCGCGGGGGAGTTCCCTCGTCGGCGGAGCAGCGGATGCGTGGAATTAATTGCACGCGGTACAATGGGGGTGGGGGGGAGTGATCCTCGCGGGGGATTGCCTGATCACCGATTGCCTGATCCGATGCGATGACCAGATGGCCGCGCTCGGCAAGGCGAAGAGGGGCGACGCCGCGCCGAGTTGACGGCTTATCGCATGCAGCGGTTGCAGCGTGTGCGGCCCAGCTTCCAGAGGCGCCGATCGCGCCCAGCTTCCAGGGGCGCGGGCATGGCGCCAGCGGCGCGCCGTGCCCGCGCCCCTGCCCAATTCACGGCGCCCCCGCCCACAGCGGTTGCATGGTGGGATGACCCATCTTCCAGGGACGCCGCTGGCGTTCCCTGCGGCGTACCCTGAGGACGTGGGCGCCAGCGGCGGGCCGTGTCCGCGGTGCACCTGCAGGGGGCGGTGGAGGCCGCGCGGGCCGAGATGCGACAGGTACTGTTCCTCGGTCGGGAAGCGCCTGGCGCCAGCCCGCGCCCGTTCCGACTGAACGCGGATACGGGCGAGGACGAGGCCGAGGGCGACGCGGACAGGCGACCCCGTGGGGTCTGCGCAGCGAAGGGGAATATTTGGCAGCAAGATTGCGTGGCGGGCTTCCGCGCCCGAGAGGGCCAGCGAGGAAGCCCGCGCGCTTGCCAACGACGATTTGGAGGCGCACCGCGCGACCGCGCGCGCGAGCCCGGGCCGTCAACCGCCGCGCGCGGGCGCGGAATGGGTCGCGAAGAGGGTCGGGGCTGGCTGTCGATGGGGGCCGCGAGTGCCCCGACAGCGGCCTCTCCGCGTTTACAATCGTACGTTGGGGCTCCTGTCGCCGCGGGGGCGGCGAGCGCGCGGTTCCTCCCCGTCATTGTTTGTTTTATAGATGTTCCTCTCGCCCCTCCCCCTCCCCCTCCCCTTTCCCCTTATGCATCCCTCCTCCCCTTGCCCATCGCCGCCCCGCTGCCTCCGAATCGGTGCCGCACGCAATTGACCGAACAGGAATGAAGCCTCCTGCTGGGATTGTCGGGTCGCCTTCTTCGCTGCCAGGCGAGGCATTTTCCTTATTATTCCCCCCTTCCCCTTGCCCCTCCCTTTCCTTTGGTCATCTCCCCTCCCCCATCCCCTTGCCCCTCCTCCTTTTCATCCCTCCCTCCCGTTTCCCCTTATACATCCCCTTTCCCTCTTCCCCTTATTCATTCCCCCGCCCCCTTGCCCCTTCCCCCCATTCCCTTGGTTCGCCCTCCCCTCCCCCTTCCCCATCCCCTTCCCATTTCCCATTATTCATCCCCCCCCCCTTCCCCCTCCCCTTGCCCAACCACCCCTCCCGCGCGCGCAACGTCGCCATCGTGCGCAATTCGCTCGGCCAGAGTGCAGTTGGCCGCGGCACCTGGCGCCGCGCGCGGCGAGGCCGCTGCGCGGTTGCAACCGCCGCGCACATGCGCGAATTCTACAGCATCGCGGGGGTGGAATATTCCAACGAGCTGGCGAGCCCAGAGGCTGCGGCGAGAGAGTGCCGTAAGGCTGCCCAGGCAAAGGCGGCCCGCCAGCGCAATGCATCGGCGCAAAGTTTCGCTTGCGAAACATTGCCGCGCCCGATCGGCGACGGCGCGCGGTGCGCATTGTCAGGGCGTCGGACTCCACGAAGCTATGCGGAATGCCGTGGTGGTACGATATTGGGCGGGGGGACAACAGGTGCGAGCCCCCCAGGACGCCCTCGTGGAGTGGTTCGCTGAATACGCGGCGTGGCGATCTCCCGCGCGGGGCGGCGGGGCGCGCAGCGCGGGGTCCCCCGAGTGCCTTCTTCCGACGGCGACGACGACGACGACGACGACGACGACGACGACGACTTCGACGATGACGACGACGACGACGACGACGACGACGACGACGATTCCACCACTCGGTTCCGAGGTTTGCGCGCCTCGAGC